TATATTTATAATTGCGTATACACACACATATGGAGGTACACCCATAGTTGGTGTATTTCTGTGTTTACTGGGTAAATTGGGCTCTATTGGTAATATCTGTTTGTTTGCTTATGGTTTGCTTGGTCGTTGTGTGCTTTGCCCTGCACTTTTTGTTTGATTGTTTGTCTTCAGCCAGGAGAAAACAAATAATAACTGTTACAAATATGTTTTTTTATGCACAGCAGCATAACGAACGTTCTTTGGGTTGTTTGATTGAGCTGGTGATGCCATTGGTTTGTGCTGTCAATTTTTTTTTTTTTTTGCTTCTTGTTGTTTTTGGGTTTGTTTCTTTGTTTACTTTGTATTGAGCTTTTTTTTCTTTACTGTAAGCGTTGTTGTTTGTGGCTTTTGGTTTTCTTGTTTTGTTTTCTTTGCCTTTTTCTGTCTGTGTTATTGGATTTTTTTTTCTGTTCTGTTCATTTTTCTTTAACCAAGTGAATCAGAAGAATTACAATTAACTACTTTTACCATGATAATGCGACCTTTTTTTTGTTTGCTGTTTTTTCTGGAGATTGTTTCTTCTTTATGCGTGTCCGCTAACTCGGATCCACTTTCTAGAGGTACTTCTCTTGCTTCTGGCGAAGATCCTGAGGAACCGTTAGGTACTCTGCGTATTATAGAGGTACATCCTCGAGGCAGTGGTGTTCCCAATCCTCCTCGAGTGGGAGGTGTTGGAGGAGATCGTGCTGTAGAGACTGTTCATGTGCAAGAACAGCAATTGGTGAGAACAAGTAAAGAACATCGACCACAAGAGGAAAGCACTGAAGGTGCAATGAAGACAGATAAAGCGAACACTGATGATGCTCCTGAGACGTTAACGCCCACCGTTGATGTTAAGCCCACACCGACACAGATCACAGATCCAAAATCAAAAGTACCACAAGGAGAAATGAACCCTACTTTGCCACAAGAACAGAAACCCAACGAGTCCCAGGACCCTCAGGAAAGAGACATTCCATCTGATCCCAACAGCGTATCCAACACAAATACAGTCCCCAAGGAAACTGAAGATTCAGGGGCCTCTTCTACCACACCTTCACAGACAAGCGCAGATACAACTGCATCTGATGGCACTCCTGGTAACTCAAGCCAAGAAGATATTAAGAATATTGAGGCCAACGGTACTGAGTCTCCCGATACAACAAAGAATACATCAAAGAACATAAACACTGACCTTCCCAATACAACCAGTAATAATGAGGAATTAACCTCTACTCCATCTCCTGTTCCTGTATCCAACGCAGGGATCACTACTATTGCTTCCGCAGTACAGACGAACAAGCCCATTGTTGACAGCAGTGTCAGTCCTGTGTGGATGTGCACTGCAGCACCGCTGCTGATTGTGGCTGTGTTGTTCTCCGCTACTGTGTACTGAACGGTGGGAGTCATTTGAGGACAAATAATAATAATAATGGTTATCCTAACATAATCATAATTGCGTACATCCCCCATGGGTGAATACATTAATAATCTGTTTACCAGCTTTCTCTTTTAATTGGAATATCTTTTTTTTACTTTTGTGTGTGTGTTCTTTTTCTAATAATTTCCATTACTTGCTTTTCCCGTTGTGTGTGTGCAGAAAACTGGGCTGTTCTGCTCACTAACGGTATACATCTCTTGCTAGTACACAGAGTTGTGTCTGTACGGTAATTTAATATATAAACTAGAGCCGTGGAGTATTGTGTGTGTGTGTGTTTGGCTCTCTCTCTTATTTGGGTATTCTGTGGTGTTTTCTTTTCAGTTTTTTGCTGTGAAGAAAAACAAATAATAATAATAATAACAGATGAATTTATATTTATAATTGCTTACATATACACATATATGGACGTATACCCATAGGTGGTGTATTTTTCTGTGTTTATTGGGTAAATTGGTCTAATGGTTAATATCTGTTTGTTTGCTTGTTTCTTTTGTTGGGGTGGTTGTGTGTTTTGTGCCCTGCTCCACTGATGTTGATTTGCTCGGGGAATTAATAAAACTAATAAATGAAGCATTTATATTCATAATTGCATAGGAACTTAAGCATGACTGGTGTTCGTCGTGGTTTGTGTGGTTACTGGGTAAGTTGGTCTTGCTCTTAATTTCTTTTTTTTGTTTTGCTTTTTAATTGTCTAAGTTACCACTATAAATTATTCGTTATTGTTTATGTTGATTTGTTTGTGTTTCTTATGACTTCTTTTTTGTTTTTCTATTATTTTTTCTTCCTCTGTCTGTGTTTCTCTATTTCGTTGTTTTTTCTATACGATTTCTTTTTTTTCCTTCGTCCAGGTTAACTACCCACAAAGAACAAAAAGAATATTTCTTTGTCAAGATGCAGGTGCGACGTGTATTGTATTTTCTGGCTCTAATGATGAGTGTTGCCTCTGTTTGCATGGCGGCTGCTGAGGCTGGAAAGCCCGGGAGTTCTTCTTCTGCATCTTCTAACTCTGTTGATAAATGTCTTCCTCCTCCTGAAAATGATGCTGATAATATTCGTGAAACTCCTCGTGATATTACTAAATATTATGATGAACAGCGTCGTTCTAATGCTTCTGCTGGTAGTGATGGTAATGATGTCTCTGTTAATCCTCCTCCTCCTCCTCCTTCACCTGTTGCTGAACCTCCTGCTTCTCCTCCTATTGCTGCTGGTGGTGTTGGGGAAGGGAGTAATGGTTCGTCTCCATCTGAAGGTCCAACTGGAGCCAACGTCAACAATCCAGCAGGTGAAGGTGCAGTCAACGCGGAGAGTACAGCAACAGCACAACCCACTTCTCCTTCTCCCGAATCTTCAGACACAGAGACTGCCAATGGTTCTGGCACTGCAAACGATGGGGGTAGCAGTACACCTGCAGGGAGTGAGTCATCCAATAACCCAACTGATGAGGAATCAACAATTACTACTACGACCACCAATACTACCAATACAATTCCTATTGTCCCTGTAATAAGCAATAACACCATAATGCCAAATGTGAAGGGTGATGCAGACAGCAGCAGCAGTATCAGCAGTTCTGTGTGGGTGCGTGTGCCACTACTGATTGTGGTTACACTGGCCTGTATTCTTGTGTGCTGATTGTAGTGGTGTGGTGTGACTCAGGTCATCCTTTTGTTTTTCTTTTTCTTCTTTTGCATACATCCCTACAGTCTAACTAATCTTCCACATGTTGGGATTATCTTTTTTTCTGTTTCTTAATGTTAATGTGTTTTGTGTTTTTTTTCTCTCTATGTTTATCCTATAATAATTATTATTGCTACTCCATTGTGTGTCTGTGTGTTCTTGGAGTCTCTCTGTGTGTGTGCCTGGGCTTGCACTGTGATGATGATGATGATGATGATGAACTGCTTTTTGCAGTAAAAGGGAAAAGAAATAATAGTAACAGATGACTTTATATTTATAATTGCTTATATACACATACATATAGACTTACATCCATAGTTGGTGTATATTTCTGTGTGTTTACTGGATAAATTGTGCTAATGGTTAATATCTTTTTATTTGCTTTTTCTTTGCTGGGGGTTCAGTCTTTGTTTTGAGATATTTCTGAGTGTGGGCTTCTTTTGTTTTTACTCTTACTGAGGTTATTGTGCGCTGTATTGCATTCTTTAAATGGTAGGTTTTACTTTTCACGATGTGAGTTTCCATAGTGGTAATAGATTTGTGTGTGTCCTAACATGTTTGATACTTCAGTTATTTTCTTTTTTTACTTTTTGATTGTGTTTCTTTCTAGATCAGTGTTTTTACGTGAAACAAATTATTATCTCATTATGATGATGATGATGCGCCGTGTGATGTGTGTGTTGGCCGTTGTGCTGTGCTGTACCTGCGGGTATACCATGGCGGCTGCTGCTGCTGTTGATAATGACAGTCCCAGTGGCCGTGGTGTA